CATCTCAAAAAAAAAAAAAAAAAAAAATCCAAAATAATTTATTCCCTCAGTGTCTCAGAAAGGTGGTTGCAAACACAATGTCAAAACACTTCCCTCTCAGCTCTGGAGGGTGTTGAGGCAGTAGAGAACTCGTTCCTAGTCTAGAGAACCCAGACTTGGAAGCCTTCATGCCGGTATTTCCCACCACGTCCCATCTTCTGCTCTTACACAGGCCCAGGATTAAAGGGGACTTTGTGTGATACCAGGAAGAACTTAGTCTGCACAGGTACTCTTTGGACAGAAGAGTCCCGCTGTGCAGCAAGCTGTGGTATGCCTAGGCTTCCTGAGCACTGGGTCAGGACTTTGAGGTGAAATGAACAAGGACAACTTCACCTTCTTAGCCTGGGCTACTAAGCTGAACTGCACTCCAGAGCACACGGGGATGCTAGTTGGCATGGCAGGGCAACAGAGTATCTGGATGCTATTACTGAGCCCACCCAGCAGGCCCCTGGAGATGTTCCCTTGCAAGGCTAAGCAAGATGCCCCAGGGTGCTCTTCTCCTGGCATCCAGAACTCTCTAGTAGACAAAGCCTCTGTTGCAGCCTTTGTCTCTATTTACAAAATGCTCACGCTTGATCACATACTTACTATAAATAGTAATTTAACAATAACCACCTGCATCCCCTTACAAGGCGCCCCTGGGGGCTTCGGCCTTCTGGTTTCCTGCCAAATGTTAAGTCTGGCCTACCTGACAGCCCAAGATGCTGCACAGCAGCACCCTGGCTGGAGCCTGACCCATCTCCAAATCTGAGACGTTGAGTTAAAGAGACACACCTTGAAGTCATCAGCATTGGAAGCAGGCTCTGCTGACCACCCTCTACCTCCAGCACAAAAATGTATGCCTCCCTATCTCATCGCTAGTCTCAGATTTGCCTCAGTTTCTCCTGCTCAGTCTTGCTATTCTCTTCCCTCTCCCGCCAGGGCTGCAGAAGTCCCAGGTTCGTTTCTTCCACACTCCTCTTCCTTTAAGCATCCCATTGGTGCCCAAGCTCTCCCTTAGGCATTCTCTGTGCCCAAGGACTGATCGTGATCGTCATGCTGTGCCTGCCTCCAGCCAAGATCTCTTCTTGGCTTAGCCCTGCCCAGGCCTTGAAATGCTCAGAACCTAGCCATGATGCATAACAAAGAAGATAAAAGCAGGCACACCCACCTCAGTGGTACCCACAGAGGGAAGGCCTGGTAGCTAAGGGCAGCTGCCCAGAACCTGTGTGTGGATGAATCCGCTGAAGAGGAGGTTTGGGTCAGTGGAGGCTTCAGAGTCCCTCTTTCCACTACTCAGCACAATTCTACTTAGTGACCCATGTCTAAATGGCCGGCAGGGGACAGGAGACCCTCACACGTGTTCTCGAGAGCTTTCCCCAGCGTCTTTCAGTTCCACCTACCGACTACTCACCCCGTTTCTCTTCTGCCTACCCTCTCACCATCCACCCACAGGCCAGCCTGCCAGCCAGGTTCCAGGATGAGGAGCAGCGATTAATTATTAAAGCAAACAAAAGCATTTCCTAGCAGGGAGGCTAGCCTACAGCTGCTTACAGGAAAGACAGCCCCAGCAGCCTTTCTTCGCTCAGGCCTCACTCCTGGGCAGAGACGGCCTGACAGAATGGGCAGTCCTGCGTCTCCCAGGACGACTGCAGGGTCGGGCTGAGCAGCCCCCTTTAGACTCCCCAGCCTAGGAAACACACCAGAAGGACAAAGGTGCTGGCCCTGTGCTAAGCCCACAGGCAGGAAGACCTGTCTACAGAGGAAGATGGAGAACGGTCTGCGGCTAGGTCTCAAGAGAGGAATTCCTATTGGTTCAGGTCAGGGGCAGTCACAGCAAAGGCTAGGGGGCTTTGAGCAGACATCCCTGTTAGGGAGCCCCCAGCAGGGAGAGGAAGCCTATCTCCCAGCCTCCCCGCCCCTTCCTGGGAGCTGGGTATTCAAGTCCCCTTCTTTCCCTACCTCCCCCGCTCAGAATCTTCTTGGTGTTAGCAGAGTCTCCCTCACTGGTCGTGGGGAGGCCTTCCAGACTTTTTTCTCCTCCTCTACTTTCTTCAAAATCTTGGCATTTTTGTAAAGTCTAAGTTGTAAAATTGGAGAGGGTGGCTGGAGGATGCAGGGCAGTTGCTGGAACATACTGAGGTGAAGAGAGGCGCCCAACAGGGAAGCCTTTGGAGACAGCTAGGTGGACTACTTAAGCCTGTGGGTGCTGTAGAAAGAAGGACGAATGGGCTGCCATCTTTGCCCCACAGGAAAGCCTCAGCTGGCGGGGCCAGTAAAACAGGGGCAGGCAGAGGACAGCAGAGCCTGGCCTCTAGCAAGCATCTTTACGTAACGTTAGGAACTGCTCTCCAGGGCAGGGAGGCAGGGCATAAACAGAGCCAGGTGCTGAGGTGGAGTCTGGTCTTCAAGGCTGGCTGAGGCTCTATTCAGTGGGTGTGTGATTCTAAGGGCTTGAGGACTGTTTTAAGAAAAAGCAGGTCTGGCAGTCTTACTGACTCTCCAACATCACAGGCCATTGTCATATGGGAAAGAGAGCAGGGTCCGACTGTGATGAGTCCTGAATGCCAACTATCTGGGAAATGGTGACGTGCCAGTGACAGCATCCTGTGGTGACCATCCTTAGCCCTAAAAACAGTCTGGGCAGGGTGGGAGGACACAGGACACAGACAGGGGTGTGCTGTGAGGGAGTGGGGCACTTTTCCTTTCTTTAATCAGGGCAAGGGCGTGATCAGAGAAAAGTGCTTTGAAGCCTGGTATAGTGGTGTATGCTTGTCATCCAAGCGCTTGGGAGGCTAAGGCAGAGTTGGAGGATAGCCTGGGCTACATAGTGAGCCCCCCACCCCAAGTACCTTGGAAATGTAGCTTTGGTGTGTAGAGCAGAGAAGCTAGTTTGGGGGAAGGGGTGGGTCAGAGTACAGGACCAGGAGTCTCGAGTTATCCTTCAAGCCAGGGAGAAATGGGGTCTAGCGCACAGGAGTTTAATTGTTAAAAGTGGTATTTGGGGACATTGGGATTGAGACTGGGGACAGCGCGTTTGGATGCTTTGAAAATCAGGTGGTTGTCGTTGAAGGTGAGGAAGGCACAGACCATTCACACCGAGCAACCTTGCAGGAGAATGAAACCAGGCAGGGTACAGAGAGAAGCGGAGGATGGGAGATGGATGTTTCTTGTTATGTTGTGGATTGGGAAGACCTGAGCAGAGGCTGACTGAGGGAGAAGATACACCCTGGAGAAATGATGAGCATTGTGGAGAGAAATGAGAACCGAGGATTAGCTTCCCCTCTAGAACACATTTGAAAACTGTCAATCTATGTCCTAGAGCCGGGGTTTCCAGACTTGGGGAGAAGCAAGTTCGGGCCTGAAGAATATTCTGCTCAAACTTCAGAAGGCTTTGGGCTTCAGTTATGTGGCCTTGGGGACCCAGAAGAGACACCACTCAAGAACCTTTCTCTGTGTAAACAACACTGTTGGTGAGTGGGGGAGGGGTGATATTGAAAGTCTCATCCCCAGATTTCTTGCCCCTTCACCCACCTTCAGGATATCATCTCTGTTACTCCTGCTTGCCTCTTATTAACCTGCTGGCCCTGGGCAAGCAGAGAGCAAAGTTCGAAAGAAACACGAACTCACGAACTTCCACTCTAATATACTCAACTATGTAACTTCCCACAACCACTTCAACTTAAAGAAAAAGCCAAAACCAACAGAAAAGGGGGCACACAGAGTTATAAGCGCAGCATGAGACAACGTTAAAGGGGGAAATGGGAAGGAAATAGACTATCACGCTGATAGCAGTTGTGTTAAACAACCGTGATTTGTGTTTCTATAATCTCTAGTTAGATCACTCTAAAAACTTACTGGATTTGGCTCATCTGCAATATCCATTCCTGTCCTGGAGAGATCACTCAACGGAGAGCCCAGCACTCTCCCTGAAGGCTGTGAAGACAGGTGTGCAGAAAAACTGCATCCCTTTGCCCACAAAACACTCTGTGTCTACTATTAGGTGAAGTTGGGGAGCACTACAAGTGATGCCTGAACAAGTTTGGATATGTGAATGGGAGTGGCACAAGTTTGGATATGTGAATGGGATTGGTGTGCCAGCCCCAGTCTGCTTTGACAATCTCTAGCCGCGTCCTTCAGTAGCAGCTATTTAAACTTCCAGGACACCCAGTGCCCACCCTGCCCTGGGTCTCCAGGGACAGTCCCTACCGAGTGCTAGGCTCTATGCACTCCCAATCCGATGTACAGCCTCCGGGCCATGTTGTATGATTGGAGGAAGTGTTAGAGACCGAGTACCAGCGGCTGCAGAGACTGGGTTAATAAGTCTTTAAAGTCCCCATTCAAATCCTGGAGTTGATTCCTTACCGAGGTCTCCTGCCCAAACCCCTATGCCTTCCCCTGAAAAGTAACCAGAGTAGATTCTGCTAATTCCCAAGAGCTTCCTGCCTCCCTCAGGATCTACCTAAAACCACCCAACAGAGGAGTTTGGGCCCCATTCTCAACCCCCATCAATTCTGCAAGGTCAACTGCCCACTGGCTTAGCCACTCTTCAGCCCCACCCACACCTCTGGCCCTGCACACCACCATTGCTCCAACTCTGAGGAGCATGGAAAAGAAAAAAATGAGGCAGAGTTTCTTGCCTTTCTTGTCGGGTAGCCACGGAACTGGGCAAGTGGAACAGTAGAGACTGCCCAAGAAGAAGGGACTGGACATCTCTAGATGGCTAATAACTGTGGGTCAAGGCTCAAGATGTGCAGCGGGATGCGACACCTCCTCCAGAGCCCTGGACACTAGTGAGCAACCTCGCCCCATATTCTCAGGAAAAAGTCTGTCAGACTCAGAGGGTGAACAGTAGACTTCGTCGGGACGGTCAAGTGTTAAGACTCTCTCCATCCCTTGCTCCGGTAGCTAAGGCATGCTGGACGAAGGCGACACGAAGCGATACGGTACAACCAGAGTGCTAGGTCGGGTGGGGCTCTTACCTCTGCGCCGCGGTGCTGGAGTCCAGGATGCCCGCGCTCTGCATCCAGGAGCGCACCGAGCCCAGGCTGGAGGGCAGCAGCGGCTCCTCTTTCAGGGGGAGCCCACCGCGGGGCAGAGCGTCCTGTGCGGGGAACATAAGGACCCGCAGTTCGTGGGCGCCCCCCACTGCCAAGGATCGCTTCCCGCCGAGGCTGTGGGCGTCGCAGCTCAGCCCGACCCGACGGCACCGGGAGCCTCCAGGAGCGCAGCGCTACACGGAGTCCTGGAGCCTCAGTGCACGCTCGCCTCTCCGGGGCTCTCTCAGTCAAAGCGGGTCCCTGGGCGCCGACGCTGTCCCCTCCCCTCCCGGGGAGCGGGGCGGGGAGATGGAGGGATTCCCCCGCGGCCTGAGAGCCGGTGAGCAGACTGAGAGCGGAGCCCGCACCCGCTCCGCACGGAGGCGCCCCAGAGGCGCGCTCTGGCGGCTGCCCAGAGCCGCGGTCGTCGGAGGGGGGGCCCGAGCGCCCCGCTAGCTGCCCGCCCTTCCCCCCGCCTCGGTCTCCCCCCCGCCCGCCCGCGGCGCCCGCGCGGGGCGCTGATTACCATCCGAGAGGGGGAGGCTGCGGCCGTAGAGCTCGGCGGCGGCGACGGTGGCGGCCGGGGTGGCAGCAACAGCAGCAGTCGCGCGTCCCGGGGAAAAGCAGGGCCGGCGCCGGGCCAGCAGACGCAGCCGCCGCCAGGTCCCCGAGTGCCCCGGCGCCCCGGGCCTGCCGCTGCCCCGGGCGGCAGCACCTGCAGCAGGAGCAGCAGCAGACCCGCCGACTCCCCCCGGGGCCCGGTCCCCGGGCTTCCCCGCCGCGGCCGCCGCCGCCCGCCGCTCCCGGGGGCCTGGCCGCGGGCCCTGGCCATCCCGCCGCCGCCGCCGCTCCCTGGGGAGCGGGAGCCGAAGGGAGGGAGCACGGGCAGGAGGAGGGCTGTCGCAAGCGGGTGGGCCCAGGGGACTCGGGGCCAGGGGAGGCGGGGGCGGGGCGCGAGGCCGGCCGAGGGGCGGCCAGGGACGTGACATCATCGGGGGAGGAGCGGCCGGGCTGGGGCCGCGGCGGCGGGGCGGACCCTGGAGAGTCGGTAGCCGGGTTGGGGGCCACGGCCGGGGAGACGCGGCGGGAGGACGCCGGGAAGCTGGCCCTGGCCGGGGAAGACGAAGACCGGGCGGGCTGGGGGCTGCGCGGCGAAGGAGCTCCCAGCTTAAGCAGTTCAGCTCATCACACTGCGCTCGGGAACCACCACGGCCTCCCGGTCGCCACCAGACGAAGCTCCAGCATCTTTTTGATCCCATCTCCTTCCCCTAAGTATGTGCCACCTTCTCCTCGGCCAAGGCTTGATTTCGGGAGTTGCTGCTCATTTGGTACCTTCTGACTTTTTCCTGGCCCTCCCCGCACTTCCCTCATTGAACCTGACCTCGACTTAACTTCTGGTTTAGTGCTCAAGGGTCTCTCAGTGTGTAGCAGGTTGCGGGCCCCAGGCCAGCTGAGCTACCTAAGTGCGGCATCTCCCATCCTTATTCCTGTCCTTGGATTACTTAAACTCAAGTTTACATTCCCAACTGCGCCTTTGAGAAACCTCTTGACTTTTGATGGCAAGTTGGACACGTGGGACTCAGGCTTAGGGTTAAGAGCCCAGCTCACCTCCTGGCCTTTGACCTTGTGGCATAGCCTTTTCTGTGTGTCCTGCGGGCTGTCAGGAAACCTTGGATGGAATTCAGCAGTTTTCTGCAGAACAGCAAAGGGGGGCGGAGGGGGTGGCCTTGCCCTTGCACTCTCAGATCTCCATCCTCCTAGGGGTGGGGCATGCTCTGAGTCAACCCTTAATATCCTGCCTAACGCTGACCCAGAGAAAGGATCCCAGGGACGCTTGTGTCTCCCCAGAGTTCCTCTGCCTCTTCTCCTGACCTCTTTGTTCCTCATTATCCCTTCCCCTTTATGCCCAATTTTCCACCACCTGTCACCTCTGAAAGAGGAGGAAGGGACACTCCCACTCAGGCCTCTCAAGGTCTCAGTTTTTACCCCAGGTGGAATTATCGAAAGCGGGCCTTTCAAAAGGAATTCTCTTCCAATCGCCCTCCACATCCCTTTAGCTGACTCTAAACCTTGCCCCTCATAGTATGTATGGCTCCTGGAGCAGCAGCATTGCCACTGGTAGCTTGTTAGAAATGCAGACTTGAGGGCCCTCCCAGACCTGTCAAGTGAGAGCCTGCCTCAGAGAGCTTAAGTGCTGGGATCACACATGCGAGCCACTATGTATGTCTGGCTAAGCTTCCCATTCTTAAAAAACCTCCCCCTTCTCCCCTCCTCCTATGATCTCCATGCCTCCTGTTTCTGTGGAAGTTCACAGGAGTCCTCCACTAAGGATCTCGGCGGCGGCTCTCCGAGGCTCACAGCCTGACTCCTCCCTGCTCGGGCTCTGCTCTGACTCCGCAGTGTCTTGGGGCTTCTCTGACCTCCTTGCAGTATCTACTGGCCACATCCCCTCCTCCTCCTCCTACCTGTGCGATGAAGCTACCCCACAGACAAGAAGTTTGATGATTGTTTGGGTGATGCTTCTCCTACTCTCTGAGGATGCTGGACTGCTGTGTCTGCCCTCCCCCATGCCCCATGTTTGTCTGTCTGTCTGTCTCTCCTCCTCTCCTATCCTCCTTCTTCCCCTCTCCCTCTCTCCCCTTCCCCCCCCCTTTTTTTCTTGAAGAGTTCATGTGTTGTCCACAGTCTCTGAGGCTGTCGTTGGGAAGACCACAATCCTAGCTTGGGCTTCTGTCTTCCTTCTGTCTGTCCTGACCATCAACCGGAGAAATTAGACCATGAGGCGGGAGAGGGGCCCCTGCCCCAGGAAGAGTCCCCAGCACAAGTGGCTCCGCTCCTAGGCCACAATGGCAGTTTAGTTCCCACATGCCCGTCCTTCACAAGCCAGTGCCCCCCCGTGTGTCCACATCACCCCCTCCTGCTGCCCACAGGCTTTGGAGCACGTGTGTGTGTGTGTGTGTGTGTGTGTGTGTGTGTGTGTGTGTGTGTGCGCGTGCGTGCGTCGGCAGTGGAGGGGGGGGGGCTCATCTCTGACACCTTTCTCTTCCAGCTACAGCTACCACTTTGTCAGATCGTCCATGTCCTTCCCCCAGCACCCACAGAGGATGTCTCTGATAGGAACACATGTCAACACTAGATTCCACCCTCACTTGAAGGAGATACGTTCGCTGTTTTGCCGGCAGCTTCCTCATCCGTCTCCACCTTCCTCCTGCAGGTTTTAAAGTGTTGCTTGATTTGGAGTATATAGAACCTTCTTAAGTAGAGTTCATTGTCTCTTATGGCTTCCCACACTTAGGAACTGTTTAGGAGCATTCCTGACTGATCAGTTTCTCTCACCAGACAGTCTTCCTGCTGTGTCGGTTCCTTGGTCGCCTGACACCAAGACCTCTCCATTGCCTGAATTCTTCATACTCTGGGCTGTCCCTTTGCTCTGTTGCCCCCTCCAGCAGGAATGCTTGAACTTAGGCAGTGCTTTTCTTTCCAAGGCACAGTGGAGTCCCTGTGCCTTTTTGGTGTTACATTGTGACTCTGAAGAATAGATTTGAGGGACAAGTGCCCAGAAATAACCTGGAGAAGTAGAGGATTTGGTTGGCCTAGGAAAATGGCATCGAGAGGTAGCTGTCATAAGTGGGGGGGGAGGGTCCTGACTTGTGTGGTTTCTACTCTACCCTAACTAACCCCATGGGATAGAAAGGAACCAGCCAGGATGATGTTTAGCAGACTCTGCAGCCTCAGGGAAGGGCTTATGGTTTAGAGCTGCTGATCCAAGAAGCAAGGGTTCTGGGACACTCAGGGAATCCCCTGGGCAAGTGTTAGAGCTGTCCTGGGAATCCGAATTGAGTGTCTCTTCTTAAGATCCAGCCACAACTCTGCTTCTTGGAACGACACTTTATTTTGCATGATTTATCTTGTTTGGGTGGGGGATGGATTTTCTCCTTTCTACATACTATGGCTGCTCCACAGACAAGAATTTAAGCGTTCTGGAGGCATGGTAGCAGACAGAGGAAATGCCATACCCTCCTTTGGCCCAGGCAAGGTCTCGCTTTTGGAACCCTTAGGCCAAACCCTCTTACCTCACCCTTTTGCTTCATGGACATTCATGCTCATGTTCAGAGTTTTGTCATGTGCCCAGTGCTAGAGAATAAGTGGACAAATCGAGCCTAGCTGTGCCCTCCTGAAGCTCACAGTGGTAGATGCATGAATATTCAACGTTATTCCGGAGTACGTGGACTATCATAGAAGCAGGGATGGGTGATGGGACAAGCACAGAGGCGCCCAAGCCTGGGAGGAGAGATAGGCTTATCAGCCGGAAGGATGAGCCTTTGGGACTGGATGACTGGTTCCACTTGCCTCCAAGGTGGAAGATACCAGCACCTGGAATCATGCTGGTACTTCACATGCCACGTCTAGGAGTTCAGGGTTCGTTTCCTTTCTATTAATTCTGGTCTTGAGATAATGCTTTTTAAACAGAAGAGAGATTTCCCCCAAGCCTCAGCCCAGTGCAAACTGTGGGAAACAGACACCAAACCATTTTCGGCTGACTTGGGCTTGGATGTCTGTGTATTGTACTATAGTGCCCCCTGGAGTCCCAGAATGTTAGGTTGCTGTTTCAATCCACTTCCTAAGTGGAAACCTGATAATTAGAAAATAATACCAAAATGAAAGCACGCACTAATTGTGGCTTCTCGAATACTCCCGTGAAGCGAAGAAAAGGGTCATTTCAGAAAGTCGCCTGGAGGTTGTTTCAGCTCTTAGTCTTCCTTGATACTGACTCCTGAAGTCTCAGTCACTTCAAGAAGAGCAAACAGCAAACACATCAGAACAACTCGTCTTGCCTGGGGATCTATTCCATTCCTGGGCTGGGCTGGCATCTAGGCTGAATCATTCAGTCCTAAATAATAAAACAGTGGGAGTCACAATGTTGGACCCTTTGGCTGAGTTCTCATTTCTCATCTTTGGGATGAAACAGAGGCAAGATATATGCTGTCATTATTCTAGGCTGTCCACACCCCTACCAATCACCAGGAATCTCAGAGACAACCAGCCCTATCCTCACTGATAAATAGGAGGTGGCTGCTTTCCCTCATGCTTCAAGGAATGCTCACTCCATGCTCTTCTGCAGAGCCATGCTGTCCCTTTGGCTTATCCTCCAGCTTGGAGAGGCCAGAGACCTTCTAACCGAGCACTGGAACGGAAGCTAGCAGTCTCTGGGTAGCTGCTTCTTAGCTGTCTGCAGGCAATGGCGAAGCTTCTTGAAGTTGAAAAGCTCCATGTGGCTGCTGTTTTTTCTTTCAGTGGCCATGACTATTATTATTTAGGCCAAGGAGGTCAGACTCTTGTTTTGTAGGGATATCTGTGTATATGTACTAGTAGGTTTTGTCCCAGAAGGAAGAATAGAAGTAAGTCCATGAATTGTTCTGTTTATATTCTTTATACTTTATGTGTATATATATACATATATATACACACATATATATACATATATATATATTGCTGTGGTCAGGCTTAAATGGCTCAGTAGCAAGTATAACAAATGTATATGTGTTTACATTTTAAGATGTGTGTAATAGTACTTACAAATCAGGATGCAAATCAAACCACTCATTTCCTTATCTTGTTTGTTTGTTTTGAATTTTTTTTGAGATAGGCTCTCTCACTAATTAGCCTTGGCTGTCCTAGAACTCACTATGTAGACTAGACTGGCCTCGAACTCACAGAGATCTTTCTGCCTCTGCCTCTGGAGTGCCTGGATCAAAGGCATGTGCCACCACACCCGGCTTTTACAGGAAAAAAGTGTGTGTGAGCGTGTTTGCGTGTGTGTATGTGTGTGTGTGTGTGTGTGTGTGTGTGTGTGTGTGTGTGTGTGTGTGTGTTCTTTTGTATAATGCTGGATTGCTGGGAAGGGGCCACAGGAAAGGAAGCTCCTACTTCCTTGGAAGTAGAGGGTGGGCAGTATAGAGTATAGGGTGGGCAGGAAAGGCTGCTCTTCTTGTCTGGGTGAAGTAGAGACAGGGTGTAGCTGAGACTGATTCTTCTTCTTTTTTTTTAGAATTTGCTGTCATTTATTTTCTCAATTTTATCCATTCTTCTTGGTTGAGATGAATTTCAAATTATAATTAATTTGGCATTACTTGATGACTAATGGTATTGGATATTCTTTTATTATTAAGAGATTTTCTTTTCATTTTACATACCAACCACAGATTCCCCTGTCCTCCTTCCTCCTGCCCCCCAGTCTCCCCCCAACCCACCCCACATTCCCACCTCCTCCAAGGCAAGGTCTCCCATGGGGAATCAGCAGAGCCTGGTACATTCCGTTGAGGCAGGTCCAAGCCCCTCCTCCCTGCACCAAGGCTGCGAAAAGTGTCTCAGCATAGGCACTGGGCTCCAAAAAGCCGGCTCATTCACCAGGGACAGATCCTGATCCTACCGCCTGGAGGTCCCCTAAACAGTTCAAGCTAAACAACTGTCTTGCCTATCCAGAGGGCCTAGTCCAGTACCGTGGGGGCTCCTCAGTTATTGGTTCACAGTTCATGCATTTCCACTAGTTTGGCTAGTTGTCTCTGTACTTTTTCCCATCATGATCTTGATGTCCCTTGCTCATAGAATCCCTCCTCTCTCTCATCGATCTACATGAGCAAACTGGGGGTGAGGGGGAGTAATGGAGGGCAAGGGATGGGGGATGAGAATATAGGGGAACGGGAGGTTCGAGCTGAAACAGGGACAGAGTGGGAGAGCAAGGAAAGAGATAGATACTATGATAAATGAAGACATCATGGGAATAGGAGAAACAGAGTGCTAGGGAAACTCCCAGGAATCCACAAGGATGACCCCACCATAGACTACTGGCAATAGTCGAGAGGGTGCCTGAACTGGCCTACTCTGGTGATCAGATGGCTGAATACCCTAACTGTCATCAGAGATCCACAGCTAGGTGCCAGGCCGAGCTCCAGGAGTCCAGTCAATGAGAGAGACTGATTCTTCATGAGGCTTTTCATAGGCTCTCTTCAAAGTCCTTTGAGAATTCATTGTGATATATTCACATGGTTATTTATATATATATTATATATCATAATTGTATATTCTTTTAAAGGACCCATTCCCTCCAATTTATAAACTTCAGCTCCACCCCCATACTAAATCTTCTGATGAGACCTGGAGTTAAGTAGGAACAGTTTATGTGAGAGACAATAAAAACCTAAATTAGGGGTTGGGGATTTAGCTCAGTGGTAGAGCGCTTGCCTAGCAAGCGCAAGGCCCTGGGTTCGATCCTCAGCTCCAAAAGAACAAACAAACAAACAAACAAAAACCCCTAAATTAGCTAGTCATGGTGGCTTATGCCTTTGATCCCAGTACCAGGGAGGCAGAAGCAGGTGGATCTCTGTGAGTTCAAGGCTAGTGTGGCCACTTACATAGTGTGTTACAGAATAGCCAGACCTTGTCTCAAAACAAAACAAAAAAACACCAACCAAACAAACAAAAAGCACATAATGAAGCAAAACAAACAACAACAAAAGCTAAATTAAGTGAGGGGCCGTACAGGTGTCAAACAGGGAAGCAAACCTCAGGAAGAGATAATGAAAGCCCAGTGCAGATTGCCTTTGTCGACCACTTCAGGCAATTCATTGTGAGCGTATCTAAAACACAGTACAATTTGGGGAAAGCTTTCCAGGCAATAATCAGTCCAATCAGTCCAATTTCAGGTGCACATAGACTAAGGTGACTACACAGAGACTCTTTTACACAGTGCATGTGACCATGAGGGTGGGTTCTGTAGCTAGAAGGCCTAGAATCTAGTGTAGTCTCTGACTGAAATAGCTTAGACGTCAACAAGCCATAAAGTATTTATGACATCAATCCTAAAAATGGGTAAGGGTCTAGGGAGGGAAGAGTCTGGGATAGTCATTCTGGAGAATTGGGGTGAAGTCTGTCCCTTCAGAGAGCAAAAAGGTCACCAA